CACTCACCACATCACCACGCTGGTGGTCACAACACACTCACCACACCACCACGCTGGTGGTCACAACACACTCACCACACCACCACACTGGTCGTCACAACACACTCACCACACCACCATGCTGGTGGTCACAACACACTCACCACACCACCACGCTGGTGGTCACAACACACTCACCACATCACCACGCTGGTGGTCACAACACACTCACCACACCACCACACTGGTGGTCACAACACACTCACCACACCACCACACTGGTGGTCACAACACACTCACCACACCACCACACTGGTGGTCACAACACACTCACCACACCACCACACTGCAGGTCAAAACGCACTCACCACACCACCACGCTGGTGGTCACAACACACTCACCACACCACCACGCTGGTGGTCACAACACACTCACCAAACCACCACGCTGGTGGTCACAACACACTCACCAAACCACCACCCTGCAGGTCACAACACACTCACCACACCACCACACTGCAGGTCACAACACACTCACCACACCACCACAATGGTGGTCACAACACTCACCAAACCACCACACTGGTGGTCACAACACACTCACCAAACCACCACGCTGGTGGTCACAACACACTCACCAAACTACCACACTCAGATCACAACACTCACCACACCACCACACTGGTGGTCACAACACTCACCAAACCACCACACTGGTGGTCACAACACACTCACCAAACCACCACGCTGGTGGTCACAACACACTAACCAAACTACCACACTGCAGGTCACACACTCACCAAACCACCACACTGGTGGTCACAACACACTCACCAAACCACCACACTGGTGGTCACAACACACTCACCAAACCACCACACTGGTGGTCACAACACACTCACCAAACCACCACACTGGTGGTCACAACACACTCACCAAACCACCACACTGGTGGTCACAACACACTCACCAAACCACCACACTGGTGGTCACAATACTCACCAAACCACCACACTGGTGGTCACAACAAACTCACCAAACCACCACACTGGTGGTCACAACACACTCACCAAACCACCACGCTGGTGGTCACAACACACTCACCAAACCACCACACTGGTGGTCACAACACACTCACCACACCACCACGCTGGTGGTCACAACACACTCACCAAACCACCACACTGGTGGTCACAACACACTCACCAAACCACCACACTGGTGGTCACAACACACTCACCAAACCACCACACTGGTGGTCACAATACTCACCAAACCACCACACTGGTGGTCACAACAAACTCACCAAACCACCACACTGGTGGTCACAACACACTCACCAAACCACCACGCTGGTGGTCACAACACACTCACCAAACCACCACACTGGTGGTCACAACACACTCACCACACCACCACGCTGGTGGTCACAACACACTCACCACACCACCACACTGGTGGTCACAACACACTCACCAAACCACCAAACTGGTGGTGACAACACACTCACCAAACCACCAAACTGGTGGTCACAACACACTCACCAAACAACCACGCTGGTGGTCACAACACACTCACCAAACCACCACGCTGGTGGTCACAACACACTCACCAAACCACCATGCTGGTGGTCACAACACACTCACCAAACCACCACACTGGTGGTCACAACACACTCACCACACCACCACGCTGGTGGTCACAACACACTCACCACACCACCACACTGGTGGTCACAACACACTCACCACATCACCACGCTGGTGGTCACAACACACTCACCACACCACCACGCTGGTGGTCACAACACACTCACCACACCACCACACTGGTCGTCTCAACACACTCACCACACCACCATGCTGGTGGTCACAACACACTCACCACACCACCACACTGGTGGTCACAACACACTCACCACACCACCACACTGGTGGTCACAACACACTCACCACACCACCACACTGGTGGTCACAACACACTCACCAAACAACACACTGCAGGTTACAACACACTCACCAAACCACCACACTGGTGGTCACAACACACTCACCAAACCACCACACTGGTGGTCACAACACACTCACCAAACAACACACTGCAGGTTACAACACACTCACCAAACCACCACACTGGTGGTCACAACACACTCACCAAACCACCACACTGGTGGTCACAACACACTCACCAAACCACGAAACTACAGGCCACAACACACTCACCAAACACCACACTGCAGGTCAAAACGCACTCACCACACCACCACGCTGGTGGTCACAACACACTCACCACACCACCACGCTGGTGGTCACAACACACTCACCAAACCACCACGCTGGTGGTCACAACACACTCACCAAACCACCACCCTGCAGGTCACAACACACTCACCACACCACCACACTGCAGGTCACAACACACTCACCACACCACCACAATGGTGGTCACAACACTCACCAAACCACCACACTGGTGGTCACAACACACTCACCAAACCACCACGCTGGTGGTCACAACACACTCACCAAACTACCACACTCAGATCACAACACTCACCACACCACCACACTGGTGGTCACAACACACTCACCAAACCACCACGCTGGTGGTCACAACACACTAACCAAACTACCACACTGCAGGTCACACACTCACCAAACCACCACACTGGTGGTCACAACACACTCACCAAACCACCACACTGGTGGTCACAACACACTCACCAAACCACCACACTGGTGGTCACAACACACTCACCAAACCACCACACTGGTGGTCACAACACACTCACCAAACCACCACACTGGTGGTCACAATACTCACCAAACCACCACACTGGTGGTCACAACAAACTCACCAAACCACCACACTGGTGGTCACAACACACTCACCAAATCACCACGCTGGTGGTCACAACACACTCACCAAACCACCACACTGGTGGTCACAACACACTCACCACACCACCACGCTGGTGGTCACAACACACTCACCACACCACCACACTGGTGGTCACAACACACTCACCAAACCACCAAACTGGTGGTGACAACACACTCACCAAACCACCAAACTGGTGGTCACAACACACTCACCAAACAACCACGCTGGTGGTCACAACACACTCACCAAACCACCACGCTGGTGGTCACAACACACTCACCAAACCACCACGCTGGTGGTTACAACACACTCACCAAACCACCACACTGGTGGTCACAACACACTCACCAAACCACCACGCTAGTGGTCACAACACACTCACCAAACCACCACACTGGTGGTCACAACACACTCACCACACCACCACGCTGGTGGTCACAACACACTCACCACACCACCACACTGGTGGTCACAACACACTCACCACATCACCACGCTGGTGGTCACAACACACTCACCACACCACCACGCTGGTGGTCACAACACACTCACCACACCACCACACTGGTCGTCACAACACACTCACCACACCACCATGCTGGTGGTCACAACACACTCACCACACCACCACGCTGGTGGTCACAACACACTCACCACATCACCACGCTGGTGGTCACAACACACTCACCACACCACCACACTGGTGGTCACAACACACTCACCACACCACCACACTGGTGGTCACAACACACTCACCACACCACCACACTGGTGGTCACAACACACTCACCACACCACCACACTGGTGGTCACAACACACTCACCAAACCACCACGCTGGTGGTCACAACACACTCACCAAACCACCACGCTGGTGGTCACAACACACTCACCAAACAACACACTGCAGGTTACAACACACTCACCAAACCACCACACTGGTGGTCACAACACACTCACCAAACCACCACACTGGTGGTCACAACACACTCACCAAACCACGAAACTACAGGCCACAACACACTCACCAAACACCACACTGCAGGTCAAAACGCACTCACCACACCACCACGCTGGTGGTCACAACACACTCACCACACCACCACGCTGGTGGTCACAACACACTCACCAAACCACCACGCTGGTGGTCACAACACACTCACCAAACCACCACCCTGCAGGTCACAACACACTCACCACACCACCACACTGCAGGTCACAACACACTCACCACACCACCACAATGGTGGTCACAACACTCACCAAACCACCACACTGGTGGTCACAACACACTCACCAAACCACCACGCTGGTGGTCACAACACACTCACCAAACTACCACACTCAGATCACAACACTCACCACACCACCACACTGGTGGTCACAACACTCACCAAACCACCACACTGGTGGTCACAACACACTCACCAAACCACCACGCTGGTGGTCACAACACACTAACCAAACTACCACACTGCAGGTCACACACTCACCAAACCACCACACTGGTGGTCACAACACACTCACCAAACCACCACACTGGTGGTCACAACACACTCACCAAACCAGCACACTGGTGGTCACAACACACTCACCAAACCACCACACTGGTGGTCACAACACACTCACCAAACCACCACACTGGTGGTCACAATACTCACCAAACCACCACACTGGTGGTCACAACACACTCACCAAACCACCACACTGGTGGTCACAACACACTCACCAAACCACCACACTGGTGGTCGCAACACTCACCAAACCACCACACTGGTGGTCACAACACACTAACCACACCACCACTCTGGTCACAACACACTCACCAAACCACACTGCAGGTCACAACCATTCTATTTTTGCTTCTTCCCTGCTCCACTTTAGAATTCCCTCCTCCCATCGTCTCTCTTCCCAAGTTATAATCGTAACCTTGCTAAATTCAAGATACCCATTAACTCGTATGTATCGTACCTCAAAATGTTGCGATTAAAACAAAATGCCTTGAACCACACTTGTTAAGCATACATTATTTACACTTCATGCAAAAGACATGCAAATGTTGACATTTAGACAAACAGGACCGATAACAAGATTACAAAGGAGACAATTAGAAACAATTGAGATGGTACAGGACACTACTTTCTTTATGGAGGCATCTTTATTCGTAGCAAATGGTTAGATGGAGTAAATAGTTATATTCCTATTACCTACAAGACTGCGCCCAATCACGAAGGCGACAGATTTAGCACAGAATGTATTTAACGGTGCACACACCTTACACAACACCACTTGCCTATTAAGAAACACGCATACTTCTATTACGATTTTCTTTCAAAATAGGCGATGATAAAATGTAATTATATTCAAATAAGCACAAATTTTAGTTTGTGCTGCATTCATTACAAGCTATGGGTCAACTTGTATCCAAACAGCAGTCCCATGCGGCCCTTCCACGGCCACGGCCGACTTGCCCAATGTTTGCCAGCAGTTTAACAACATTGATGTTCCGTAATAACTTACGGACGAGTTAGGTTCCTGTTTGCAAATAGTACAACTTTACTCCTGTCGATTCAAAACACGTTGTTACGGCATGTACACTAAACACGGGGAATGGCTTTAAAAGTTGTATAATCTCCTGCAGATGCCACTGGATCTTCATGTTCTGTAGATGCCACCACCGCCATCTAATGCGCGGCGGTTGAACTTACGACTCTCGATCCGAACAGGCAACTGGACATACGGACAGCTTTGTTCGCATCTCTGAAATTTCGTAAGTCGAATGTTCGTAAGTAGAGTCGCCGCTGTATTGCTGTTCGTGTCTATAGACCCCATTACAGAAGGAACGCTGTTTAACGAAACAGGGGCAGAAACCGTCAACATTTTCGGTACCCTATTCAAAATATTTAATCATACCACATTTCAAAATCATAAGAGAAACAAAACACGTGTATATAGTCGTATTACAAAATGGTAATAATGACATGCAACTAAAATACGCAAGATAAAAACACACATGCAAGCACCCGTTCACGGACTCGCATGTTTATAGCGCTGAAGCCCTAAAAAAAAAGTTCAAGTTATTGCTTTAGTTTGGTGTATTGTTTACCAATGCCTTTAACAAAATGTCTATTTTCAGTACAAGCATTTTTATGAATAGTGCTAACAATTACCCATTTCTCCACATCTCCCTAACCAGATGTTGAAATTCTTTTATTACCAAAAAAACTATTACGACCCCCTGACCCTAACAAAATTGTGCTCATTTATACGAATTCCGCCACTCGCTATAAATCTTACAAGCGGACTGACTACCCGCGGTTGCTTTAACTGTTTAAAATGAATTTGAATAAAGTTTTTTTTTGTTGAAAAGTCTTTCAAACAGATTTCGCTGAACTTGACTGCATAACTGCTGAAGCATTTTATCGATGCCAGCATATTAGCCACAGGCACCATTCGCAGGCAGTGAAATGTCGAGCTGAGAATTCAAGGCGACACTTTTTCACGCACGTGTGGAAACCAGGGTTTGGTGGGGTCACCCAGAGTTACCGAAGCAGTGTTCAATATCTAAGGCAGTATCTAAGGCAATATCTAAGGCAGCCACACCTGCTGTAGTGGCATGGGATACTGCATTAGCTATGCTGCGTTTCCGAAGCCCTGGCCAGTATCAAATTGCCCACAATGTCAAAATGCACATGCGCAGCCGCGGGGGATTTGAGGGCGCTGTGCCCGTGTCCTCAGCAGACCTGCCCAACACACGCCTGGCCGCACAAGTGCAGAAAACAGCCAAGCTGCCCAGCAGCCGTCGACTGAAGCGATTTTCCTGGGGAAAATGAGCATTTCCCAAGAGTTCGCCTACAAAAGCTGCAAACATTTTTTATTCTGGTTGTTTTTTTCTTCAAGTAATATAACATTCCTGAATTACAAGTCACAAGTATTATTGTTTGAATCGATTACTCAGCGCGGCAGAAGGGTAACTGCAGAGTGAATTACTCCAACATGAGTTGGGTATAATTTAGGATTCCTTGCACATGTGGACCAGCATGTTACCGTATTATTAAATTGCCTGCACACTGTGGTGGGATCACTTGTTTGCCTGAATTTTACTGGTGCCTCCGAACATTTTTCATCAGCCTGGAAACAATGAACACCCTTTGGTGCAGTTACACAGAATTGTGTTCAGAGCTCCAAATGTTTGGGGAAAATTCCAACACGAATTGTACGTAGTTCCGTTCTTTCATTTAGCGAAATTCATTAAGATAACATAGAACTTCAAATTATGAAGCTCATATGGGTTATCAGCCCGACGCTTGTTTCAGAGAGCATGTGTTTTCAGAGAGCATGTGTTTTCAGAGAGCATGTGTTTTCAGGTAAAAGTGTTTGATAGATGGCCAACAACACACAAACTCGTAATATCCGAATGGCAGAGGTCCGGTTTAACAAACTCATTTAAGTGCCATCCTAAGGCATTGTGCGCCCCACACGCCCTGCACAAGTGCCCCTGCAGAGCTCACCATGCTACAATGATTTATGTGGAAATATTTCACGACTCTAATGGCTTAAGAACTGCAAAGACATTTCTTTCTTACAATACCATTGAAAATACCTCCAAAAATGTAAGCTCATCCCAATATTTCTCTAGTTGCCTCACAGGGGCAAGTCATGTTCCAGAGTAGGTAGTGTTCAATCCATCACAGGGTCCCATTCCCATCTTGACAAAACACTTTGAAAAAAACGATAAGTACAAAAATAAAGAACTAGTTCATCTATTAATTTACAAAATTAAAAGTATTCTGCAAGTATAAAAGCCAGATAACTTACATCATTTGGTTAAACAGCAGGTCTCACGAGCGTGAGATGAGCCAGTTTAAATCTCAGCTCGAATATCATCAGCAATTAGCCCAATGGGAATGGGAAAAACCAGCACCTCCCTAAAACGAGGCTGCACCAACATGGTAAAAAAAAATCACAACCCCTTCTAAGCAGAAATTTGTAATTTCCACAAGCGACGAGGAACTACCGTTATAGTTGACCAGTGATCGAGGACTGGGAGATACTTTATCTAAAAAAATAAGATTGCAGAGATCGCCGTGCCATCTGCTTTCAAAGCTGGGTTCCAGCCACTCGTGATTTAACTGGATTATCAGGTGGAGCGTTTCAATTGTTTGTCTCAGTTGGGTTACCAATCACTGCACAAACAACAACAAAACACCCCTAAAATTACGTTTTTCAATTTAGAAAAATAAAATTCCAGCTCATTAAAAAAAAAAATTGTGTTTGACTGTCAAGGGACAAAGCCACTTTAAGGTATCTCAGAAAGTGTTCTGTGATATCACCTTCCACAGGCAATCCTCTTAACAATGGGTTAAGCAGTGCTTTAAGGTGCATCAAGCCTCACCTCATGACAAGACACCAATGGGAAAAAACGACAAATGAAAGAAAGCAAAGGAGGAGGCTCCTTTGACAAGATGGGGAATGCGGGCACAGGGAGTTTTTACACCTCTCAACTAAACTATAAACTAAACGATTATTAGTTTACCAGGTAAGGCCCACTCAGCTATGCAGCTCATTTTCAGAAGCAATCTGGCTACAAATTATAGCTCAACGAAGAGGCTTATCACGTGTAAATGTATAGCAGTAGCCAAATACTAAATGCATGTATCTAAAATGTGGAAGAGAAGACCGGAGGACTAGCAGAAAAATCCACACGACCATGGAGAGAACATGCAAACTTCAAATATACAGATGTCAGGGCTGGGAGATCGAACCCACAACCTCGTGTACACCAGGCGAGGTAGTTAACATCTCGCCACTGCCGTCTGCAAGGCGGCCGGGTCACGCAGCTCAGGGCCGGGTCACGTGACCCCGGGCCGGGTCACGCGGCTCGGGGCCGGGTCACGTGACCCCGGGCCGGGTCACGCGGCTCGGGCCCGGGTCACGGGACCCCGGGCCGGGTCACGCGGCTCGGGCCCGGGTCACGGGGATGCGGCGGGCGACGATCCTGGGCTCGTGGGCAATGACGTCCATCGCCAGACCTCGCAGTCCTGCCCATGCAGCAGCTGGTTCTCGGTGCGGATGCGTGACTCGCCGGCGTCGATGAACTGCACCGCCTGCTCCCACACAGGCCGCATGCGGTCCCTGCAAGGGGGCAGCAATGTCCGTGGAGTCAGCATTGTTGTGTTTTTTTTATTGTAGCCATAGCGTTAGTCTAGCAGACGACAACTGAGGAATTTTAGTCAAGTCTGAGCCTATGGATTTCACTTAGTCATTCTCTTAAGTCTAGTTATTAAAAATTGGTGAGGGGCATGCCAATTCTCCCACCACCCCCAATCTCTCCGCAATGCCCCAAATATAAATGTGAAGGGGGGTGGGGGTGCATGCATCTGCAATTCACAAACTCTGAAAGCAATTGGACAGCCAATTCCCTTGGTAATGAACCTCTAACAGTTGCTCTTCAATGGCCTATACGAAAGGGTGGATGAAAGCTTTCCCAGACCATTTCCGTCGTCAGTGGGGAGTTTGACCATACTGAAGCCTGCTTGTCAGTGTGGGTCAGAGAAGGGGGACGTGCCCAAGGAACAGTTGAGACATCACTTCGCACCGATATTAGCTACGGCTGAGAACTGAACATACAATTCCAGATTCGCAGGCGCTGTGCACTCAGCACTGCACCACCGCTCCTCCACCCAGGTGCCCGCAGTGTACCGAGACAATGTTGCACGCACACCAAAGAAGTATAAACCACGTGTCGTGCATCACAGTATCAACGCACTACGCAGTGTCAATAATATATGGCACACGCACGGCAAGCTGCCTATGATATTACATGGAAAGCACCCGATCTTGGTCAGACGTTGGAAGCTAAGCAGGATTTGAGACGACATCCCCCCAAAGATTACCCAAGATTAGGGCGCCAAAAAGAGAGCGCACGCGCGACACGGCAGGTCTACGACACCTGCCGTTCAAGCACGAGACACCACTGGACTTGTCGACTCACCGGTCTTGGGGCTTGATGAGGCTGTCTCGCACATGAGGGATGGGGAGGAAGGGCTGCACCCTCCAGTTGGTCTGGCTGTCGAGCATCTGCTGCTGAACCAGCTCTGCGACCAGAGCGGACACTCGTGTGAGCAGTTACATGACATCCCTCATTACAATTACTCGTCAAAAGGGGGCAAAACAATATACGCGAGATCAGGTAAGGGTATGTTGGCAATTGTACCTTAACTGAACGCCGATAGAACACATGGGTAGAGAAGACCAGGAAAACCTAATCATTACTTAATTTTACTTTCGTTGGTGACGACACAAATCCTTGGCTGCTTGTCACGCATAACCCCAAAAGTCCATCGGCACGACAAATCATACATCGCGATGGAACAATGCAAACGCTTAAACGAGGCGCGTGTTTCTCGAACGCAATAAAGCATGGGGAAAGCAACCAATACCCGAGATCTTTTCCACAAGCTCGAACACCTGCTTCTTCCTTTCCCCCTTTTGCTTCAGCCACAACTTTGCGTAGAGGTAGAGCCCCCAGAGGACGGCGATCGCTGAAATGGCACCAGTGGAAGATGAATAAGTAATATTAAAAACACTTTTTTTTTTAAACACACTTTTATGAAACGTACGAGTAATGGCAGAACTCCACGACTCCAGGAAGTGGCCCCGAAGCTTGCCATAACGTAAGGGACCGTGGCCAATTACAGCCAACGTCAGCTGACCGTGGACAATTAGACCCAAGTCGAAACATAACATATGAAAAAAAATGTTTAAAAATATCTATTTGTTATTTTATAGTATTGTCATCAGTATGACATAACTATACCAAGTTTGCAGTCGATACCACATTGGGAAGTGGGGTAAAATTGAGTTACAAGATTTGAGGATACAATGACAACAACGACAAAAACAGACAGAGAGTTAAAAGAAAGCGTGTAAAAATACATGCGCTTTAAACGTTACGGACCTTGGTTGTAAACGCACGCTCCGCGTCGATAGAATTTACTGCACGCTTATCAAGAAACTAAAAAGGTCAAAATTGGTTTGTCATATGTTCCAATTAAGCCAGCGTGAGCCACCTTAATGCAACATTATCTGTCAATCCAATGCGAGATGAGGATGACTCCACACACTGTGGGTTATGCTGCATATCAGATTATATTTCACTATACCGGTCAGTCCTGGTTGGCAGAGCATAGATCTGGGAGCATAGATGGACAGAACAAAAATAGATTTTGCTGCACGACACCACCGGTGAACACCATGTAGCCCCGCAGCAGTCTCTAAGCCCTGCCGTTGCCACTCTCCAGGCTCAATCCTGCTCATTGTCCAAGATATGACGAAATAAGACACATTCTGGTTGTTCTGGTTAAAGGCTCACCGATATATATGCGCGAGTTACCAGGATTTGTTTCCAGAACACTACTCTTTAGGTGAATACCGTCACGTATCGTGCATTATTAAAACTTCACCGTTGCCCCCTCGCGACGCCCAACAGCTTACCCAAGAAGATGATCAGCAGACGGACGACGGTCTGCACGACGGCGTTGCGCAGGCGGCACACAAAGGAGCGCTGAAGATGAATCGACTCGAGGAACTTCACATCAGACGCGTTCACCACCTTCACGTTCGCATCGAGCCCGCGCACTCTGGCATTTGTAAAACGGACACACCGCACGCGACGGGATTGAAAACGTGGACGTGTTAATTGACACCTTCATCACCGACGTGTCAGGCAGACGGCGACGACGCGGTGTTCCGACACCTAACACGCTCGCACGAATCCACCCGTGTTCAGGAATCCCTAAACCCTCTGCCCCACTGACATCGTGAAGCCCTCAAAGCTGGCCACGGATGTCAGGTCAGACAGACGTCCCTTGCCAGCCCCGTTTGAGCCTGACGCTGCCACTCTCACCTACCCTGCACGGCGAAAGCTCAGCACTGGCTTGGCTCGGATTGTGCCGGTGGACAAAGGGGAGATGAGACTTGAGGCAAGCTCATAAAGAGTGGTCACTACAGACCAACGGGAGGGCAGCTGTCCAAGAAAACCGATGGATGAACGTGTGATATGGTAACAGCCACGCTGGCAGACACAGCATAAGCATAGAATCGTACAATACTAAGTCTGTTAAAATTCTAACGGATATAGGAACATATAGGCCAATTGCATGTCGTCAAACACGAGTTATGAAAGGAAACCATTGAGCAGCGAGAAAATCATGATACTACCAATCTTGTCCAGACGTATGTGTAAGGGAAACATTACATTGGGTGAATATACTGTTTGGCCTTATAACAGGTTTTTTGGGCAGACCACAACATATGTAAACCAGGAATTCATATTGCACTCCCCAAACTCATAAACGTCGACTTGGTGTTATAGCTGCCCCTTTACACCTAAAAATGTCCCACGCCAGACAATCTCAGTTTAGTGCTGTACCGTGCAGTACCTACTACAGCATTCGATTGAGAGTTCCAGAATTGGTTTCATCACAGAAAGTGGTTTCGCTGTTTTGTTTACATTTTTTCTCTCAATAAAATATAAAAAAGCAATCCACATAACGTGACAAACTGCATACGAGATACATTCGCTGTTTGCGGTTTTTTGTTTGAAAACAGATTTACAAGGGACCATCCCTGAATAAGCCCAGCATTGAAGACACTGTATACACACACACCATCCTGCACAGTCATTCTAAAGACATCAGAGTTAAATGTTTGCCTTCATCTTACTTTATTCCAAAGCGAGCTTCATTCTTCACGATTGCGTCCAGTGCTTTGTGAAACACGGTTTCATCGTAGCTCTGAAAACAAAAAAGCATTGGTGAATACGTGAATCCATAATCATAATGCACCAAAAAACCCTACACGGTGAGCCTGTGCAGGTTAAATGTGGCCGTGGATATTTTCACTATCGGTCCGGGCATGTTGCTTCACTTGGAAATGTACAACTCTTCTGGACAACTCCACTGTCGATATCATACTCTGGCCGCTCACGTGACCGGCACGGAGAAGAATTAGTTGTCTTCTCTGGCACCGAATTGTACATGTGGAGCAGCCTTTGTGTCAACTCCCGACCATACTTCATACTCGTCAGTAGAGGCTAACGAAGATGGACAGAATATATGTTTGGAGCGTAATACAATGCATTGTTTTTGATGCACTGCCCTCTGCTGACAACCTAGCTTTGCAGCAGCCAAGAAAACTAATTTTATGAATGGTGGTCACCCATACGAGCATTGACCAGACTCAATTCCGCTTAGCTTCGAGACCTGGCATCAGGTGCATTCCAGGTCAATTGGCCATAGTTTCCGTAGTCACCGGGAAACCACATTGCCTCACTGACAAATGTATGTAATGTTGACTGCTTGTTCACCTTTATTTCTGGGTCCTCCTTCACCTTTTCAACAGGCAATTCAGCTTTCTGACCCTTCAAATACCCACAATCACGTTCACCTGTGCGAGAAAACACACAAGACAGTTTAATGTGACGGTTACAATAACCACCAACACGATTCTTCTTTTGGCGTTCTCTGCTCCGACACTGACGAGACGAGGCTGGCTCTGATGTCGGCCAGTTTCAAAGACAATGCATATATTTATACTATATGAGCATGCCATGTGTGTTTGCATGTTCACCACAAGTTAGTGTGGTTAATGCAATACTTGATTCCTTGAAAAAGGTATCCGGTGTTTGAACATCTTAACACCTGTTTTATTGCCAGAAAGGGTAAAACCTATTCTTATTTTTCAAACCCCTGGGAACTGGCAATGTATTCACCCACTTTTTACTGGGATTTCAAAACAATGTTAAATACGAATTTTGAACGTGTAATTAAATGCTTTTTATATTGCAAAAGCTCTGCTAAATCACCAGTATTGTATTAAAGTTTAATTTTACCCAGGTTTTCTTTGAATAAGAGACTTTGGTCTTAAAGGAATTATGTTGTACTTCCCAGTGTGAGAAATAAGTCTATAATAAATGGGCACATTAGATTATTGCATTTAAAATGTTTTCCACCACACATTAATTCACACCAGGTTTTGATACGGGCCGCATTTGAATCAATTATAGGTTCCTAACGTCAGTGTAGAAATGGCACATATGAACCCAAAGATGGAGCCTTTAAATACTCTACACCAGTGGTTCCCAACCTGTAGGCCACAGACAAGCAGTGGTCTGCAGGACGTGCAAAGTGGTACGCGGAACTGCTGCAGACATTTCTCACAAGACGCACAAAAATTTAGTGTTGGCAGTGATCCAGAAACATTGTGAACCACTGTTCTACACCTTTCCCGTGACTGGGTCTGGAGGAATCTTCGTACCCAAACTTACGTACAGGTTTTGCTCGTTTTATGTGGAAGTAGATGCGTTCCAAAAAAAACTGAGCACAAAGCAAAACTACAGGCAACAGCTGCCTGCCGAGTAGCGCATACGGTCCACAGACAACGTTGTCCCACATCTGACTGCATAGCAGCATGCAGAGTGAATTAAAACCAGAGCTAATTTTGGGGAGAAATAGGTTAGCCACATAAAAAAAAAATCGCAAACCGAACCCGCATAAAGTGAAGGAAAACTGCATTTGCTTACAAGACATTAATAATTGATGTCGTTATGTAACAACATGTTAACTGTCCTGTATCAGGTCATACAATAAACCGGAGCATGTACACCAAAGACAACATGCCGGGGCTTCTGACTGGGCTGGATTTTTTTGGGGTAAGAATCCCAGATGGACAGCTAAGATCAAGATGAGATCGTAACGTGTGGCATGACCGCACCGCAGGGCACAACGCGAGCGAGCTACTTGCCTGCACGAATGGCGAGCAAAGAATGCATCTTTCCGCAGATCTCGTCGACACCTCGCTTTTCACATTCCTTCAAACACAGCAGACAGTGCACACACTCAAGTTAAAACTCACATTTGTAATTGTTTCATTATTTTTCTATCTACGTGGCTTTACTGAAAGACCAATAGAATACTTCAAGCTTACATTAAAGATTACCCACATCTTCAAAGTGTTTGGAACAATGGAACTACCCCACAGGTTAACATCCCCTTTATAATTTTAGGGAGATTACAAATTACTGCCTTTATTTGCCCAACAAGGCCTCATGAAATATCAATTCCCATTTTTTCAGGGGCTACTGTATTTGGGATGTTTGGCCAATTGCATGATATATCATCAGATGCACTCAAAGTAAACTGGATTACCGACTCGGTATAAGACTGTTGAAGCTTCACACAGATGGAATCAAGAAGGATCCATTGATGCGATGCAGTATCCTTGCCACATTGAGCCCAGTTCTGCAACACTTGGCTGTTTTCCAACACCTGGCTGTTTTCCCAGGCAGTATCCCACTTAAGCATAAATCAGCCTTAATACTGCTTAGCTTTCTAGACGTGACGGAACCTGTATCTTTTCCTGGTACAGTAATTTGAGCTTAGGTGGAAGAAACCGCAGGAATGAGACAACCGCCATGAGCAATAAGGACACGCTGCCAGAAGGCAAAAAGTGTATATTGGCACAACTCAACTTATGGATTATTCAGGTGTGTTGGCAGCAATAAAGAAACAGACAACTCACATTCGTCCAAAAAAACACTGCCATAAAAAAGGAGAAATGTCCAGGTGACGCTTTGGGCGCATGTGCCTGAAGTAGGGTCAATTACCAACGTGACACCCGATATACACTGCGTTCTTACCCTTCCAGGGAGTGTTATGGACAAATTCTTTGACTTTTTCAACTTATGGGCAAGTCGCATATTTGAGCAAACGAAAAGAGAACCTGCTTACCGTCGTTTCGCAGGGGGCCTTAAACTCATCTGTAAAAGGAGACATTTGACAAGACGTTAGTCAATCCATTGCACGTATGAATAACACTGCAAGCTTAGAGAAAATGCATTTGTTTTTCAATAGACAATATAGCACAGGAGGGCTCTTGTGGACTTAATTCCACATTAGTCACAAACGCATTGAGAATGAAAAGTTACATGTGCTTAAAGTACTGTACACAGGCTTATCCATTCACATCAAACACACGGATTTATGACACTTTTTTTCTCAAGAGATGGTTAGATTTTGTCAAAGTGATGCCTCTATTTACCAGAGTGCTAAAAATATTCAGCAAGTGCACGCATTGATATTGGAGGGAGACATGTAGAGGCTTAAAAAACTAATTATTTCATCCGTAACTTTTCCTATTACCTCGGTGTGATATTTATAAATGCTTCACCTTTCATATACACAATGCCAAAGAAATTTCCAGCTCAATGGGGCATTTAGGTGGTGCTACTCTCCTGTCGACTGCCATGAGCCAGCAGTAGAAATTACACATTCCTATGGCGGGGTTAAGAGTCTATATCCATTGGAGAACCACCGTTGACTACTTCCTTCATTTTATCGTCCCCGGAAGGATGATGAGCCGAGTCAACCACCTAACCAGGACTGAATCTCGACATCCACAACCTTCACAATTTCCAATTGGCTCGCTCCACCGACACGAACCACGCGGTAAATGCAACACAACACAATTACGACCGCGTGTGCACGCATCAATGGCTCGACACACAAGACGTATGGATGTCTAAGCATTCGTCATCACCGCTGTTCTCTCCGCACGTCAGCAGGTAGATGATGGCCATCCACACCAGCAGCATGCCCAGGCCGATGCGCAGCAGGTTGGACTTGTATCGGACGTAGAACGAGTCCGCCGCCGGCGTCTTGTCGACAGCCCGCGTCTTGGCCGTCGTTCCGCCTCCGCGCTTTCTCAACGCGGCCGACGAGACGAGGGGCTCACGCTTGGCCTCCACTCTCCCTTCTCCTCCTCCACCACGGAGGTACGAGTCGAAGTTGCCCACCTCCGCTCTGCCCAGTCCAAGTTTGAAGGAGGACCCGCCGCCGAGGCCGCTGTCGCCATCCCGCTCGCTGTGGGAGGCGAAATTCTTCCTCGAGTAGAGCTGCGAGGAGGAGGAGGGGGCGAAGGGGACGTCCCTCGACCCGGCGGTGCCAGCCGAGCTGCTGCCTGCACCGCCACCTCCACTACCACCTCCTCCACCACCCACTCCTCCATCTGCTCCTCCTCCTCGCGATGAGAACCAGCCGGAAGTCGACGGGAAGTAGCCGGACCAAGTGGCCGCATCAATGCCGGTCGCGTCCGAGCGGCCCGAGGAGAGCTCTGGGAAGCGGCTGCGCCTCGGTCTGTCGAGTTCTTGAGGTGCGGACGAGCGCTGTTCGCCGCCCCCACCAATGCCACCGCGAGCACCATCGTCGCCTCCGCCAAGAGCACCGTGCCTCAGGCTCAAGCCGGACGACGACGAGCTGGCGATCGGGTTGCTTCGCAGGCCGCCCGAGTCGCCGCTCGAGTACCTGCTGCCGATCCTGCTGCTGCTGCTGCCGATCCTGCTGCTGGTGTCGAAACCCGCGATAAGATCCCGAGATGGAGCGGCTCCGGCTGCTGTGGACGAGTATGATTTTGAGGAGGACGAGTAGTAGGACGACGAAGGGTAACCGATGTCCAGGCCGCTGCGCCTGCCGTTGCCGTACGGGGACGACGAGGCGGCGATTGGCTTCGTGGGCATTGGACGGCCGCCTCCCGCCTCCAAATGCCGGGCGAATTCCGACTGGAACAACCCCAAGCCCGACACAGGCGCGGTTCGAGAGTAGACATCATCACGCGTGTCCATCTCCTCCTCCTCCTCCTCTTCCTCCTCCTCTTCTGCTGCTCCATCAACATGTCCACCGCCGCCGCGGGCGTAGACGACATCGTCGTCCGAGTAGGCCGCCGTCGCCTCCTGCTGCTGCTGCTGCTGCCTGAAGGCCGCCTTCTTGCGCGGGTCGGTGCCCACTTCTCGAGTCCTCACGGCCCCGTCTTGGGGTCGCGGCCGACCGGCCACGAACCCGACCCCCAGCGAGGTTCTCTTCGGGGCAGGCAGTCGTCCTTCTCCTCCTCTGCCTGCCACTCCAATCCCTCCTCGATCACCACCGCCGCCGCCGCCGCCGCCGCCGTCGTCGTCGTCACTGTCGGAGCTGAACATAAAGGCGTCAACTCGCCGATTGCCCGCGCCGCCGCCCCGTGCCCTGATCACCTTGCTGCTGCTGGAGGTGGTGGAGGTGGTGGTGCTGGACTTGGCCTTGGCGGATCCCGCTTCGAGCGCCGCCAATTTCCTGAGCATCACGCCGCGCGTCGTGGCCGTGACGGGCCCCACCGACTGGCCCAGCTCCAGGAGGCGCGCCCGGAGATCGGCGTCCGACAGCTCGGCCCCCATTGACGCGGCGCTGCGCCGTCCACCCGACCTGGTGCCCATCGTCGTCGTCGTTGTTCTCGTTGTTGTTGTTGTATGCTGGAGACCGGAGTCGCACTGCTTGGGGGACCGCGCTTCGCCCTCCGCTCGTTACAGTCACAAAATGAGCGCGGTAAAGGCGTGGTTGTTTCTCTTCCTCTTCTGGAAGATGGTCGGGGTGGATGCCATCAACTGAACGCCCCTTCCTCTGCTGGAAGATAGTGGGGATGGGGATACCAACTGAACGTCTCTTCTGGAAGACGGTTATAAGGTGGTGACCAGCTCGACGTCCCTTCCTCTTCTGGAAGATGGTGGGGAGGTGACCAACTGAACTTCTCTTCCTCTTCTGGAAGATAGTGGGGGATGGAGGTGATCAACTGAACGTCTCTTCTTCTACTGGAATATAAGCGGGAGGTAGTGGGGATGGGGTGACCAACTGAATGACTCTTCCTCTTCTGGAAGACGGTGGGGAGGTTGGTGACCAACTAAACGTCCCTTCCGCTTCTGGAAGATGGTGACCAACTGAAATGTCGTTTTGGAGCGCTTCTGCAAGACGACCTCGAGTTGATTTGATTGGGTGCGGAGTTTGAATTCCATTCGCTTTGACTTCTGGAAGGCGATTTTAGGGTTCGTTTTTATTCTCTTCGGTTTTTTCGGTAAAGTCACGTAGGTAAAAATAAGGAATAATCGAAATAAAATAATTGTATTTCTATTATTACTAAATTATTATTTTATTTATTATTTATTTTACCTACGTGACTTTACCGAAAAAAAACCTACGAGTATGAATCCTTGCAGTCACGAAAGATTCAAATCTCGAATTCGTTTTTATTGGCGGTCGAAGTTCGTGCCCCACCCTCACCTACCCCCTCCCCCCGGGGCTACGGGTCGCCGCTTGCCCCCTCCCCTCGGTTCGCGTTTGTAAAATGTTGAGATCCTCCCGCGCGCACTGTACGGTACAGTGCACGACGCGCGTGCCCTCCCAGCGACTGCTGCGTGTGGGATGGCATTGCGGTGCATGCGGCGGCGCTGTTAGTTTGTGTGCACGGGGTTGTTTTATCATTTGCCCCCCCCACCACCACCCTTTTAAATTAGAAGCTCATAAAATTTAAAATATCCATTTTATTAAACAAAATGCAAGCGCTGATACCGGTGATTAATAAACTGCAGGATGTGTTCAACGCCGTTGGAGCCGAGACGATTCAATTGCCGCAGATTGTGGTCATAGGAACGCAGGTAATGACCCGCGATGTGAGGACTGCATTTACAGCGTTGCCTTGATTTATCTTGAGTGCAATGGTTCTACCACTCCTGCATACAATCAGTGGGCGACTGCGGAGAAGGTGATGGCCGTGGGCTTTGGAGCAAGCGTCTATTGTGCTGGATATCTATGCTGCCCGCCGTGCCAGCGCGCCAACACGCATTGACCAGCGGGGTGAAGTATGGTCAAATAACCTCCCGCATTGCTTTGAGTCAGCCCTCATGCCGTGGTTACTTTGCACGTTCGCACGTTCGCGCGCACGCAAAGCGACCGCAGTGGAGCAGTGGTTCGCGAACGGCGAACATCGATACACGGCCACGGCGAACATCGATGCATATCCACGGCGAACAGGCGGTGACGGCGAGTGTTGAAACTGGTCCTGGGACTTCCCCTTTTATCAACTCGCTCTGACCAGCGAGGTGAGAGGATGCTAACGCAATCCCTACGACCGACGCGGCATGGGGGAGGCCGTCATCCAGCAGTGGATAGACTCAATTTAAATATGTCACGTTACGTTGAGTCTTAAACCGGCTGAAGTGGCATTTATATTTGAGGCTACCTAGCAAGGGAGACCTCGAGATTAGAGCATTAAGTGGGCTGAATGTGTACAACTTGTGTTTAACGCAATGCGAGTATTTTATCTTGATAAGAGTGTCAAGACTTGCGTCGTCTGGTGGCGGGTTTGTTTAACCAAGAGCGTGTTTTTAATATCCTTTAATACGTGGTTGATCAGTCCTGTAATTTCCCTTTGATCAGATCTGATGATGAGTCATTAATGATGGCCCTCGTGATCATTGATAATATAATGGATCCTCTAATCACTCAACACGAGTGATGGTCGTGCATTATCGGTCATAAATAATGAATCATGGCACAGTACTTATAATTTAATCATTAATCACGAGTCCCATAATTACGGTCATCTTACTATTTATCACTAAAGATGTGGTCTTTAACCATGGGCCTTGTGAGAAATTAACATGAGTGTCACCGATTATTGACAATGAATGCCATAATTGATCATTCGTCCTGAGGTCATTGATCACTCGTGCTCTGATCAGTCAGTGGCTGCGTGGGGGGTCTTTGTGGGTACAGAGCAGCGGCAAGAGCTCGGTGCTGGAGGGGCTGGTGGGGCGCGGGTTCCTTCCGCGTGGCACGGGCATTGTGACGCGCCGCCCGCTCGTCCTGCAGCTCACGCACGTCTCGCCCGAAGAGCGACGCGCCGCTGACTTGTCCAATGGCGACGGTATAGCCCTCGCTCCACAGCCTCACCACAATCTCCACAGCCTCACCACAATCTCCACAATCTCACCAGAATCTCCACAATCTCACCAGACTCTCCACAATCTCACCAGAATCACCAGTCTCACCACAATCTCCACAATCTCACCAGAATCTCCACAATCTCACCAGAATCTCTACAATCTCACCAGAATCTCCACAATCTCACCAGAATCTCCACAATCACCAGAATCTCCACAATCACTCGAATCTCCACAATCACCAGAATCTCCACAATCTCACCAGAATCTCCACAATCTCACCAGAATCTCCACAATTTCACCAGACTCTCCACAATCTCACCAGCATCTCCACAGTCTCACCAGAATCTCCACAATCTCACCAGAATCTCCACAATCTCACCAGAATCTCCACAATCTCACCAGAATCTCCACAATCTCACCAGAATCTCCACAATTTCACCAGACTCTCCACAATCTCACCAGAATCTCCACAGTCTCACCAGAATCTCCACAGTCTCACCAGAATCTCCACAATCACCAGAATCTCCACAATCTCACCAGAATCTCCACAATCTCACCAGAATCTCCACAATCTCACCAGAATCACCAGTCTCACCACAATCTCCACAATCTCACCAGAATCTCCACAATCTCACCAGAATCTCTACAATCTCACCAGAATCTCCACAATCTCACCAGAATCTCCACAATCACCAGAATCTCCACAATCACTCGAATCTCCACAATCACCAGAATCTCCACAATCTCACCAGAATCTCCACAATCTCACCAGAATCTCCACAATTTCACCAGACTCTCCACAATCTCACCAGAATCTCCACAGTCTCACCAGAATCTCCACAATCTCACCAGAATCTCCACAATCTCACCAGAATCTCCACAATCTCACCAGAATCTCCACAATCTCACCAGAATCTCCACAATCTCACCAGAATCTCTACAATCTCACCAGAATCTCCACAATCTCACCAGAATCTCCACAATCACCAGAATCTCCACAATCACTCGAATCTCCACAATCACCAGAATCTCCACAATCTCACCAGAATCTCCACAATCTCACCAGAATCTCCACAATTTCACCAGACTCTCCACAATCTCACCAGAATCTCCACAGTCTCACCAGAATCTCCAAAATCTCACCAGAATCTCCACAATCTCACCAGAATCTCCACAATCTCACCAGAATCTCCACAATTTCACCAGACTCTCCACAATCTCACCAGAATCTCCACAGTCTCACCAGAATCTCCACAGTCTCACCAGAATCTCCACAATCACCAGAATCTCCACAATCACCAGAATCTCCACAATCTCACCAGAATCTCCACAATCTCACCAGAATCTCCACAATCTCACCAGAATCTCCACAATCCCACCAGAATCTCCACAATCTCACCAGAATCTCCACAATCACCAGAATCTCCACAATCTCACCAGAATCTCCACAAACTCACCAGAATCTCCACAATCTCACCAGAATCTCCACAATCACCAGAATCTCCACAATCTCACCAGAATTTCCACAATTTCACCAGAATCTCCACAATCTCACCAGAATCTCCACAATCACCAGAATCTCCACAATCTCACCAGAATCTCCACAATCATCAGAATCTCCACAATCTCACCAGAATCTCCACAATCTCGCCAGAATCTCTACAATCACCAGAATCTCCACAATCACCAGAATATCCACAATCTCACCAGAATCTCCACAATCCCACCAGAATCTCCACAATCTCACCAGAATCTCCACAGTCTCACCAGAATCTCCAAAATCTCACCAGAATCTCCACAATCTCACCAGAATCTCCGCAATCTCACCAGAATCTCCACAGTCTCACCAGAATCTCCACAATCCCACCAGAATCTCCACAATCTCACCAGAATCTCCACAATCTCACCAGAATCTCCACAATCACCAGAATCTCCACAATCACCAGAATCTCCACAATCACCAGAATCTCCACAATCACCAGAATCTCCACAATCACTCGAATCTCCACAATCACCAGAATCTCCACAATCTCACCAGAATCTCCACAATCTCACCAGAATCTCCACAATTTCACCAGACTCTCCACAATCTCACCAGAATCTCCACAGTCTCACCAGAATCTCCACAATCTCACCAGAATCTCCACAATCTCACCAGAATCTCTACAATCTCACCAGAATCTCCACAATTTCACCAGACTCTCCACAATCTCACCAGAATCTCCACAGTCTCACCAGAATCTCCACAGTCTCACCAGAATCTCCACAATCACCAGAATCTCCACAATCACCAGAATCTCCACAATCTCACCAGAATCTCCACAATCTCACCAGAATCTCCACACTCTCACCAGAATCTCCACAATCCCATCAGAATCTCCACAATCTCACCAGAATCTCCACAATCACCAGAATCTCCACAATCTCACCAGAATCTCCACAATCACCAGAATCTCCACAATCTCACCAGAATCTCCACAATCTCACCAGAATCTCCACAATCTCACCAGAATCTCCACAATCTCACCAGAATCTCCACAATCACCAGAATCTCCACAATCACCAGAATCTCCACAATCTCACCAGAATCTCCACAATTTCACCAGAATCTCTACAATCTCACCAGAATCT